TCCTTAGAAAGTAATGAAACAAAGCATGGCCCCGGATTCTGGAAATTTATTAATTCATTATTTACGGATAAGTGTTACACGGAGATGATAACAAAACAAATACAAGAGTTCATCTCCAAATATTGCAGCCTCAGTGACAAAGGCTTATTTTGGGAAATGATCAAAATGGAAATTAGAGAATCAACAATAATTTTCGCTAAAATAAAGCCAAACAAAAACGAAACGAAGAAAAAGGTTTGCTTAGGAGACTCAACCAATTACAGGAAAAGATAATGTCAAAATTTAGCGAAGCAACGAAAGTTGAAATGGATCGAGTCAAAAAAGAACTAGCAAAGATTGTCTTTAAAAAAACACGAGGAGCCATGACACGTAGTTAAGCACAATGGTACGAGTTCGGTGAAAAGAATAATAAATATTTCTACAACCTGGAAAAAAATAAACCACAAGAAGAAACACATAACCTCGTTAACAAAAGAAGACGGTAACATAGTCCACGAGCCTAAACAAATTTTAGAGGAAAAAGGCCCTTTTTTCAAAGAAATTTATGTCTGTCTGTGCGAAAAATGTCTGTCCAGAATCTGCTGATCTCGAGCACTTTTTTGATGGCTTGAATACTCTCAAACAGAAAGAAGCGGACACCTGCGAAGGGCTGCTAACGCTTGCGGAATGTACCACTGAATTCGCTGAAACAATTTAAGAATAATAAAACACCTGGTTCTGATGGCTTTACTATTGAATTTTACCGGTTCCTCTGGAATGCCATTGGTCAAATCATAGTTGATAGCTTTAAAAAAGCGGTATTATATCGTTGATACCAAAGAAAGACAAAAATAAAAAATACCTCAAAAATTGGAGATCAATTTCCCCATTGAACAACGACTACAAAATTGTTACAAAGGCCTTAGCTTTACGCGTAGAAAAAGTGCTACCCACGATTATTAGCCCGAATCAAACAGCATACGTAAAGGGAAGATATATAGGTGAGAGTATCAGAATCATAACAGACATGATGTCCTTTACTAAAAAGAAAAACATTCCAGGCATAGCGGTCTTTCTTGATTTTGAAAAAGCTTTCGATTCTATTGAATGGTGCTACCTTCAAAAATGCCTTGAAGTTTTTAACTTTGGTCCTCAATTACGACTGGACAATGGATCACAGTCTTTTATAATATCATATCAAGTTGTGTTTTGAACAATGGCTTTGCCACCAAACATTTTAATCTAAGCAGAGGTGTCAGGCAGGGTAACCCACTCTCTGGGATCTTGTTTGTTATTGGTGTAGAAATTTTAAGCAATGCAATTAAACGCTCTAGGGA